AAGGTGGGGCCTTTGAAAGACGGTGTGATCCTAGGACCGTGCTCTAAGTGAGTGGATTGATCCATTCATGGGGTAATGGGTTGATGGTTTAATGGGTGGTAATGGGCATCGTTCTGATGGCTTTAAAAGGAGAGCAAGTGAAGAGGTTAGCTCTGTCTTGCTCAGCCCATTATTGCCATGTGATACCCTGCGTTGATGAAAACCCTCACTAGAGGGGCCGGCCCGGTGGTGCACTGCTACAGTGCGCCGCTTGGGAGTGTGGCGCCGCTCCCGCCGAGGGTTCGGATCCCACATACAGACCGGTTCCCGCTCACTGGCTGAGCGAGGGGCGGGCGCAGCACCGAGGGCTGCAATTCCGTTGCCAGTCCCGGTCCGGTACGGGCGCGACACTGAGGGTTGTGGTCCGTTGCCAGACACGAAAAAAGACAAAAAGGAAAGAAAAAAAAAAAAAAAAACCCTCACTAGAGGCACCCTCTGGACCGTAGACTTCCCAGTCTCCAAAACTGTCAGAAATATGACCTTGTAAATTACCCAGTTTCAGGTATTCTGTTACAAGTGACAGAAACAGACTAATACTAGGTGTTTCTCACATATTACTGTTTTTGACCTTCAAAACGTATAGGAAGTAGATATGGCCACTTCAGTGATGAGGAAAGTCAGGTTCAGAGAGGTTCAACAATGTGAGGGGTCCAGAATCGCTTTAGCATGGAGAACATCCTGTCTTCCAAGATAGTAGGGAAGGGTGAGAAGATGATTATAAAAAGCGCTGATGCTTTCAAGTTGTGATGGAGATAACTGGGGAGCTGACCAAATTTGGGGCTGCCCCTCAGTGTTTGTACCCCTCAACATAGTCCAGCAGGATGTGAACAGCTGAACAGAGGCAGGCAGGCAGGTGCAGGTAGTGATTTAAGAACTTCCTTTACCTGTCTCCATCCATGTGGTTAACCTTCCTCGATGGTGTAATATTGAGGGTTCCATGAAAATGTTATTGGGAGGAATATTACTTTCCACTTGCCTGATGGGTTCCCAGGGAGTGTGAGGCCAATTATTTTCTTAACTCCAAATATAGCCATCATAAGTTCTTTGGATATTTAAATCTGTTGAGATGTAAAGTGTTAAGAAATGAGGTCTTTCTTCTCTCCAGCCCTATCACACTGGTATTGGATAGGGTACAAGCATTATTGATGAGTGATTTAATATTAACTACATGAATGAAAATAGACTTTCCATGTATAGTGGCCCATTAGAATTCGGTTTGGAGAATCATTTTGGAGTAGTAATTAGCTTAAAGAAAGTCACAAGGCTGAAGTTTCGGTGTTTGCCGAATGACTGTGGAAGTAGAGATGCATTTCCATTTCAGTCAAGTGTCAGTGTGAGTTCCTAAGCAACTCATCTCACCCCAGGTGGCCCTGTCACGCTTCACCCAGTGGTCCTTCTGCCAGAATGAAAAGTTCAGGGAGAGAAGGCTTTGTGCATTAGGGAAGAAGAGAGGTGGACGGCTTGATGTGGATTAAGAGATTAAGACTGAAGGGGACATTTTAAGGGGAAGGTCACGAGGATGACAGTTTAGAAGAGAGAATAATAAGAAAAGACAGTTGGGAAGCCTTGGAAAAAATAAAATTGCAGTCTTAGTGGATGCAAAAACTGAAATAAAGAATTTCTGTCCATCCATCCCAAACCTGGGTAGGGTTTTAGAACTCCAGAAGCAGTAAAGTCCAGGTTGAACAGTAAAGAGAACAGTTAGTCATGAGTTAGGGTTTCCCTTTTCAGCCATTAAACCTGGAATTGCTACTACTACTCAAATTGTCTGAAGGGAGGAGGTTTAGGTCTCTACTTGTTTTTGCTTTTTTTCCTAAATGAAAATCTTGAGAACCTGGGGTATCTGTGTACAGACACAGTGTGGAGACAGCAGTGACTCCTGCCACAGATAGGACCTACACAGGGTCTGGGATCTTCTCGTGAGTCCCAAGTGAGCCCCAGGCTTTGGCCTTGTGTGTTGTCAGGGTAGATTTTGTGAGCCAGGCCTGTGCAGCTGTGCTTTCTGCCTCCGTAGGATCTGCCAACTGGGAGTAGTTTCTGGCTCTTTCCCCAGAGTATTTCAGGTTGAACCAGAAGCTAGACGTTCTGGGGCATAGTCACAGTTGGGGAGCAATGTGGAGAGCATTGTTTCGAAAGGAAAAGGGGGCGTGGAGTAGAGAAGCTGCTGAGATCTACCTCCTCACCCACTTTTTCTCCCCTTTCGTTGTGTCCTGTTCCCTTCCTCTAGTCCAGCTGCCACCTAAGATAAAGTAGCTGCCTGCCTGAGCCTTAGGGCAAGGGAGGGGGAGAAGGGTGGAGAGAGAGCAGCACGGATCCTGTTCTGAGTGGTTCAGCCCTTAGGTGTGCCTGGGTTGTGCTTAATTTGGTTTGGTTCCCGTTCTCCTTTCCCAAATGTTCATCTGCGTTGAGAATCTAAATGTGGTTTGAGGTCTGTAGTGGGAAGGGACCTTCTGTATAGCTGCTCCGGGGGTGTGGTTGACCTGCCCTGGAGTGGCTCCCTTCCTGCCTGTTGGCTTGGGGCCATTGCCCCTTCATGTTATGAGTTTAACTCAAATGGCCCAGGAACATCAGGGCTCTCTAAACCCAGAACAACCAGGCCTTGGTTACTTTACCCTTGTAGTTTTCTAGAGCACCTAAAAAACATCCAAGCTGGCAAACAGCTCTTCTTGCCCCAAACATTGAGAGGTTTTGAGGTCAAGCAAGAGGTGGGGTGCTTTTCCTTTCTTGAAGATACTGCCAGCCTAGTTTCCCTGGTATCTGCCATCCTGGGTGTATGACTTAGCAAAACTGGTATGTGAGTGAGGATAATACAGTCTTCTCAAAAGCTTTGCTTATTTGATTTTTATGGTTCCTTACAAAAGGCAAATTAGCGCTGAGGTTTGTGTGATATTGTAGCCCAAAGGTAATATTACTGGGTGGTTCTTCCCTCATTTTTTTTCAAGACCCTTACCCATTATCTGCAGATTTCCACATCTAGGGAAAATAGGTTCATGTATATATGGGTCTATTGAGTGACCATAGGTGACATATTGTTCTTAAGGTCCGGCTTCTGTAAGTACAGTTTGCTTTGGTAATCATTTCATCCCCTAATGGTGTTAGAATGATGTGGATATCATTCTGTTTGTTGACCACAATTAAGTACTCAGGCTTTTGGATACAAGGTTAACCTCCAGCTCAACATTTAAATAAAATCCAACAATAAAATTCTCTTAAATGCAGATAGCCAGATGACAAACCTCTGGGAGAATCTGAGAAAGGCCAAGCTTCCCAGCATTACTTTGGATGATTTGGAAAGGACAGCCTGATGTTTCTGTCTCCCTGCATGGACAACAGTGTATTACTGGGTCCTGTCTGTCAGGACACGTTTCACTGGAATTTTAAATCTTTGTTTCAAGGTGAATTCTCATTGATTGACCTTGAGTTGAAATCTTGGTTTCAACTTTTACTGCTGTGGGACATACACAGCAAGTTTAACGAGAGCTTGGATGTCAGTTTTACCCCAACATCTAAATAGCCTGGGACTCTTCCAGCATGCCACTTGGGTTTTACTTTATTTCAGCTTCCTGTGGCATTGGCCACACTATTTTCTTTAAGGGGAAGATGAAGAATAGGCCTCTTCTTACCCAAATGGGTGTCTGAAGTACCTGTTTTTCACGTGACATGAAGGCCAGAATTGTTATCAAGTAACACTGATTCAGGTCAAATATCTCACCCTTTGCACTTGGAGTTTCTGTTTTACTGTTTTCTTAACCTGTCACAGCCTCTTAATTATGATGTATTACTAGAGGACAGGCAGTACTGTCAAACTTTGTGCATTTTATGAAAATACACAAAAGCAGCAGACAAGCAGCTGTAATGCAAATTCATCCAGATGCGTTACTGAAATTCCCCAGAGGGGCATCTTCATTGTTTTCTTTCTTTGTTCCAGAAGCAAAGGCCGATAATGAACCGAGCTGTTCACCGGCAGCTCAAGAACTGTTGACAAGGCTGGGATTTTTACTGGGAGAAGGGATCCCAAGTGCCACACACATAACCATTGAAGACAAAAATGAAACCATGGTAATGCCCGAGGAAGACACCACGTTTTATACCTGCTCAGAGGACGAATGAAGTGATAACCATCCTCTCCATTTCCTTGAGTGGGGAAGTTATTGTTCCGTCAAATAAGTTCTGGGCTGCTGTGTATTGAAATTTATTTCAACAGTTTGTTTGCGGATTTTTGCAGTGGGAGGTGGGGAAAAGCAGAATGGAGCAGAACTTAAGAAAATGTCCACATTAACCTTCCAGTCACCACCTGGAGAATAGTGGCAAAATGAATTAAAGTGGCTAAAAGGATTCCTTCGTAATGATACTACTCTTATCTTTATAGCTCCATTCTTCTCATCTGACTGCTTTGGTATATGCTTTCCTGTGCTTTTTAGCTGTCAAGATTTTGGAGGGTCAGTGGGGTGAGGGAGAGATTTATAGGAGATGAGGCAGAGACAGAATAAGATGAGCTCAAATGGTTCATCTGTCACGAGTGCACCCCCGCCCCCACTCACAGCCGTGCAGTGTGCACCCTGCCTCCTCCATTGGAATAGCAATGAGGGGCTGGGCTTCTGCCCCTGCAAGGGTTTCTGCAAGGGCGGGTGGTGTGCGTGCGTCGATTGAGACTGCAGTAGTCACTAGTCTCCTTCCCCTGATCGCAGAGCCCATAAATTTTTAGGAATTGAATCAGATTACAGTTCTCGTGGAACATTACAAAAACAGAGTTCCCAGGTTTCCTGGACAGAGGTCAAATAACCCATTCATCTTCTGCAGACTGTACATGAAAGGGAGTCAGCCTGTTTGCCATTTCTGATTTTACAAATGTGCATTCCCACTAAATTATTTTAAGACTGCCCTTTTAATAGAAAATCACAAAAGAGGGGAACAGAACAAAGTCATTTCTCTCTTAAAATTTAGAAGACCACACATATATAGATATCTAAATGTATAGATATGTGTGTAGCCATATCTATACATATATATCTCACTGTATTTTAAAGACTGTCTTCCATTTTCCTGTGTTAGTTTTATTATTTTAGCGCTTCAGCATCCCGTGTCGGCCGTGCTAACGCCTCCTTCCATTCATCTTTCAGTGCACAGCTCTGAGCCAAGGCATCAGTCCTTGCTCCACACTAACAAGCAGCACCGCCTCTCCTAGCACCGATAGTCCCTGCTCAACCTTGAATAGCTGTGTCAGCAAGACGGCAGCCAACAAAAGTCCCTGTGAGACCATTAGCAGCCCTAGTTCCACCCTGGAAAGCAAGGACAGTGGAATTATAGGTAAGAAGCACACTGCTCGGTAACATAATGACTTGATGCACGTCAACCAGAGCATCTGCCAAGCACTTCTTCAGAGGGTTTTAGTGTGGTCTGTGAAGGTCAGTCTGCTGGGGCCTGCCCTGTCCTTTGCAGATGGCACTGGCTCCACGAACAGCCAAGAGAAAGAAGCATTGGTTTTTATATTCCTTGATTTTTTTTTCCCCCCTATAACACTGGGTTCATTTGGTTAAAAAAAATAAAAAATTGTGCAGGTCAGATCTGGCCTGTCAAGTTACAAAAATCTTCCCTCCTTACCAATCATTTCTATTTGTTGGGCATTGGGTCCCACTAGGGTACAAAGCAGAGCAATGAAATCTCTGCTTACTAAGAAGTCTTCCCAACCCAATCTCAGTGTCACTTACTTCCCGACAAAAGCTCAGGCATATGTCCTCTAGAGTTTTGTTCTCTCTCTCTTTTTTTTTTTTTTTTGGCATGGCTGGCTGATATGGAGATACAAACCCTCGACCTTGGTGTTATCAATGTCACTTACTTCCCGACAAAAGCTCAGGCATATGTCCTCTAGAGTTTTGTTCTCTCTCTCTCTCTTTTTTTTTTTTGGCATGGCTGGCTGATATGGAGATACAAACCCTCGACCTTGGTGTTATCAACACCACGTTCTAACCAGCTGGGCTAACCGGCCAGCCCTAGAGTTTCTTATAAAGTTTTGATACCAGGATTTTCTAAGGATGCCCTCCCTGGGACCCCCACATCCACATAATAAGTGCGGTTATCCTGAACTGAGGAGCAGGAGACATGGGTTCTAGACTGATTCTTAGGCTGCTTTGCTAGGTGACTTGAGCAACATTTAATGGACTTCATTGCACACTTCTTTTCTTCTTTAGAAGACTAAGGATTTTGATTAATTCCATAATTTCGAGTACCAGATGTGTATTAGAACCTCATCCTTATTTTTATAGCCCACCCCAGACAGACTAAATATATATTTCTGCAGGTGGGCCCAGGCATCTGGGTGTCTCAGGTCTCTAGCTTAGCACCTTCAGATTGCAGATGGGCAGACCCCTGGAGAGGATTCTTCAGGCCTTCCTTTGCTGCAAGGTTGCATTGTAGTTTCACAGTGGAGCTCTTCTGGACAGATCAACTCCTTCCCTTCTGCTGAGTTATGCATGTGTCCTGAGGGATGTTTTATTATGGACTGAATACTACTTTGACATAAATATGTAATCAATGAGTTTTGAGCTCCTCATTTTCTTAAGTCACCTGCCATTTCTTTCAAGTGTAATTTGAAAAACCAAGTCACAGGTTCATCCAGTTGTGCTTTGGAGATTGCCCCAGAAGGTCTGTGAGATTCCTAAGAATGGTCTGGGGGCTCTCGTGTAAACCTCCCTGTAGCTTTGTGAGGGGCATCTCAGCTTAAGGAACGTCGCCTCTTCCCTCAGTTTTCACGTGGATCAGAATCGTTAGTGGATTTTTGTTTCATTCGGCTTTTAAGTGTTTTATTAAGATACAATTCACATACCACAATATTCACTCAATTGAACCATTATAGTTTTTAGAACTTATTCATCATCTGAAAAAGAAACCCTGTACCTGTTAGAAATCATTCTCTATTTTCCCCCAAACTCCCCAGCGCTTTTCAACTGGTAATCTACTTTGTGTCTCTATAAATCAGTTTATTCTGGACATTTCATATGAATGGTGGGCTGCGTTTTTTGTAGCAAATTTAAATTCTTCTCACAAAGCTTCAAGGCCTTCCGGTGAGCTTATTCTGCTGTTCCCCATTCTCATCATACCCTGCATCCCAGCTGCTGTTGAGTCTAGTTCATCTCAGGTGCTCCAGCGTTCCTTCTGTTCTCGTGCCCTGCCTGCCGTCCACTGTTGACGGATCTTTGTTATTAATTGTGATAGCCGATTACTTTCTTCGCGACATTCTTAGATATCCCAGCTGCTGTTGAGTCTAGTTCATCTCAGGTGCTCCAGCGTTCCTTCTGTTCTCGTGCCCTGCCTGCCGTCCGCTGTTGACGGATCTTTGTTATTAATTGTGATAGCCGATTACTTTCTTCGCGACATTCTTAGATCTTCTGAAATTTTGTGTCCTCCAGAAAGTTTATCTTTCTCCAAAGATTTGGCCAGCACTACATTTTTTTGACGGGCATTTTCTTTTTATTGTATGTTCTGGCCATTGGCATAACATGCCTCTGATTATAACCAAATCGGTCTTTTGTTTTGACAGTTACATACTTCTTCAGTAACAAGAGAACTACCCATTCATTTATTTCTCTCTCTCTGAATGAGATACAGTGCTACAATTTAAGAAGTATTCTAAACAGAGGAAGAGAAAAGCACTGGTTTGTTTTCATGTATTGTCAGTGAAAGATTCAACTGCAGGAGGCTCTTAATACTTGATTTAGTATGGTCCCCCCCATCCCAGACTGATTAATTCCCCTATTATATGCTCCCTGTAGCAACTTTAGCTTTTCCTTCAGTGTATTTATTCTCGTTTGATTATTTAATTTTGTCTTCATATGGACAGGGATCTCATTTTTCCAACTATCTCCTGGGTTCCTAGCACAGTGTTGGGAATGAGAAATTAAGGAAGGAATTATTACTGCTATGAAGTTGCATTGCAGGAAGGAACATTTAGTTGGTTTACAAAGATGCTATACAGGATTCCCATTGTTGCCCAAAATTGGCTTTGTCAAACCTTTTAATGTCTGTGTTTTAAGCTCTGCGTTGATGGTAAAGTAGCACATGCATGTCATTGCTGCCCTTCTTTTCACTCAGCTGAACATGAAAAGTGGCCATAATTGAGATGAAAGGGGGAGGAGTTAGAAGTGATTGGAAGTCCCTCCTTTGGGCAAGACCCCAGCTTCTGGAGACGGTGCTTCACGCTACATTAGCTGTTCTTCTGCGGGGACTGTAGGTGGATGAGAGGGAAGCACTGTGCTGGCGACAATGTTCCTGTTTGTTCTCCTTTCATGACCTGCAGAATTAGAACCTGTTGCTAAGGGACACACTGTAGGCGTGGTAGGGAGGAGAAAGGAAAGCAGCAAGAATTTCCTCTCCAGGCAGACTGAAGCCACAGGTCTTTTGAAGAGGCAGGAGTGGAGGGACCGGAGAGGGAAAGAGCTTTCTCTTAAATCAATACAGGGTGTGCAGATTCCATTGCTTTTTAACAGAGCAGTTATCTGTGACTCAGTTGTGGTTCTGTGATTGCTGGGGTGGGGGTGTACGTTTTTTCATCTGAAGCATATGTCTGTTTTTATAAGGTGTAGCCTGGGAATGGCAGCTTTGGGGCATCTTAAATGTTTACCATAGTAAAATATGCAAGAGCACCATGATCCTAGCAGGCAGAGATGAAGGTGAGATACCTTGGCTTCCTGCTTTGGAAGACCTGGCAGTGGCTCCTGAAATAGGCTGGTGAGAATCCATGTTCCAAATTACATAGGGCCTATAGAAGGGAGGAAGAGGCTCTGCATTTAATTTTCCATTTTAAGTGGTTTAAGATTTGTCAACCCAATAGAGCAGGGGCTGGAATGGCAAAGGCTTTGGGGGCGGACTGGTGCATAGTGCACACAGCTGCCGTGGAGTTACATGCCTCGAGTAGCAATAGACTCAAACCAGTGTTCCATGTACAGTATTAGCAGTTTATTCCAGGCATTTAGAGGAAGTTTCAAATAGTACTTACCCATCCTTAAGAATTGTTGGGCCTCCCTTTACTATTTAAGTTGATTTCTGTCATGCCGATTATATTTAATCTAAATATCTTCGCTCAGCAGATGCAGGGACGGGAAGCTTGTGTTCCCACATGCCCAGGGCATCCACAGCATACCCCGCCTGTGTTTTGTTTCCACTGCTTAGAAGGAAACATGCAGGTTACTGTCAGAAGAATGTATTGGGCCTCTTCTAGTCTTTCTATATGGAGGTCAGGGCTTAGTAGACCCCTCTCCTGCCCGCATTTCGATTTTATTATGTTATCCAGAGGGGAGTCCCACTTTATTCTATTTCAGGAGGTCCAAGTTCTTTCAACATAAATGTCTTTAGAAGTATAATAATTCAGTCATGTAGAAATACTGTGTAAGCTGGATGGGAGTAATTGAATTCCCTATGAATATCTTTTTTAGTTTTTTTAAGTAAACTTCTTTACATATTAAAATTATTTGTGTTACCTAGAAGTTAGTGTCTGATTTTCGAATTTGCAATGTGAAAAGCTTCTTAATGTGAAACGCAGCTGTACCCAATCACCATAAAATAGCTTTCAATTACTTGCTTTGTAAAGAAAAACTTTATAAAGAAGTATGCTTTGAAAGGTGTTTCCTCCATGCTTGAGAAAACATTTTTTCTTCGTGACACTCCTTTGAATATAACTTACTTCCAACTGTTACAAATGGAAATTGTAAGCTGTATTAATCCCGGCTTAGAAAAAAATTATGTGTATTCATTGGAATATGTGTGAAAACCAATATGATTTTTTTTAAAAGTCTCTGAAAATAGTTTTAAAGCACATTTTGAGTTAAATACATCGTTTAATTTTTGTTTGCATCCATTTTCATGATAAATATATGTGTATGGATTTATTTTTTCTTAAATGAGCTATTTCTACATTTAGGAAGAAAGAAGATAGAGACTGGGTGAGGAGAAACAAACAAAACCCAGCTTTCCTATCAAGGTTAAAAAAAAATTCTTCCTACCCATTAATGATAGGTGTGCCAAGGAGAAGGACTTACAGGCAGCAATTAGAATAGTTCTGGCTGAGGGAGGGGTCTGTTAAAAGTCGGTCATTCCTTCCATTCCCTTCTTCTGCTATCTGCTTTACCTGTTGAGATTTCTAATCTCCAAAGTACTTTTGTAGTGTCCTGCACCTGCTTCCTCTTGGATTCCGAGTGGGTGGTGGCCACCTTTCCCACACAGAGCAGGTGTGTTGTCCACCTGCTGGCTCCCTGCACCCAACACCCAAGCTGGACTGCATGCACCACCACATTCTACCCGCCTGGGTAGCTTTC